TGTATTTATATATATATATATATATATATATATATATATATATATATATATATATATATATATATATATATATATATAAAACAATGATATAAATAATATAATTTTTTTAATGTATACATATAAACAATAATAATGATTTGTTTTATATATTCACTTTATGAATATAATCAAACAATAATAATACTGATAATAGTATAGAATCATTTTTTTAATCTATGCTTTGTTGTTAAATATTTAATTGACTAGAAATTGCCCTTTCTAAGTAAATTCACATACATAACTTTTTAAATCTTATTACTACCAAGTAGCAAAAAACTGCTGAAAATGTGAGTTTCAAATTCCATTTGAATTAAAATGTTAAACATCAGCATATTTGTACTCCCCAGAGCCCTAAACTGTCATTTCATTTCTTATATTAACAGGCAAAGATCTTGACCAGCTGCTTTGTCTGACCCATGATGAAGGGCTAAACCTGTGGGATGTGGCTCGCCCAGACAGCGATGACACTTTGACACTTCTGAGTTCGGCTGATGCTCAGCCACTTGTCCAGCTCCCCAATGGAGCGTCGCTTGAGTACTTTGTGGGCAGTACATGGCTATCAGACGAGGAGCGTATTCTTTTAGTGGGAGGGAGTAATCATGGAGAGCTCCACCTCCTGGACTGCAGTGGGTGTGGTCTGAGGTTCATTAAATCCCTCAAAGGGGGTCATTCAGCTACAGTGAGATGCTTCCAGTGGGATGCGATCGGTCGGTCTCTGTTGACGGGCGGGGAGGATGGCCAGTTGTTGCAGTGGAAAGCGGGAGCGGAGGAAATCAGTGTGGGGAAGAAAGATTCTCTGAAAAGCATTTCCTCCACACAGCTCAAAACTAAAGCTCACAGAAAACAAGCTACACAGAAAGGCCGGTCCAAACTAACATGATCATATGCATGGGAGAAACTCAGATTTTACCAAGAGACAGTTGACACTGAAACAAATTGGTTATTTGACAAAAATCTCAGAGAAATTGTAAAGTGCACTAAGCTACTTTGCTTTGATGCCTTTGTTTTCACAAATATAAGGATAATAGATAAAGATATGCTATATGGAGACTAAATTTGAATCTTCCGCCTTATAAAACAAAACAATCAATACGGTCTCTTTGAATTTAAATCTAGAAACCTCTACATGAACACACCTGCCCGAATAAAGTGCGGTGGACGAATTTACATTTCATTAAAATTAAATATTAAAAAAGCAGCTAACGTTCTACACACAGCAATATAAACAAAGGTGCCTGTTCTCTTTCATTCTTGATGTTTGACTGGGAAAAGTTTAAAGGGGTCATATGATGTTGCTAAAAAGAACATTATTTTGTGTATTTGGTGTAATGAAATGTGTTTATGCGGTTTAAGGTTAAAAAAACCCATTATTTTCCTGTACATTATTGTTTCTCCTCTATGCCCCCCCTCATCGGTCTGAAAAGCGAGGTGTGCTCTGATTGGCCAGCCCTCCAGTGTGTTGTGATTGGCCGAATACCTCAAGCGTGTTACGGAAATGTTATGTCCCTTACCATATTGTGATGCCCTGTCCTGGCCGGAGCGACGAGACAAAAACATTAAAACCCATTATAAACGAGGCATTTGTTGCATCCAGTGGGGACATAATTACTGTTTACGCGTTGCATTGTAGTCTACTCTCCCAGGATCAGGAAGCAGTCCTCCATAAAATGCCCTGCACACATCTGAATATTTGGGTTGAAGTGTTCTGGAACAGTGTTGTAAATACAACTTAACCACTGATTTCTAGTCGTGTCCTCTTTTGGAAGGCCAACAAAGTAGTTTCGCTTTCACAACAAAACACACGGCGGCCTAGAGTGAGCAGCAACCACATGTGGCGACCCCGGGCTGGACTCCGCTTCGTCCACGGTGTAAGCCGATCTGGTGATCCACAGCGCGAAGTTGATGTATTTCCTCAGCGACCAGCACGGATCAGCTCTAGGCATGACGAAGCGGATATCGTCCTCTTTTGGAAGGCCAAACAAAGTAGTTTCGCTTTCACAATGAAACACAGCGCCTTCACGAAATGGCGGCAGCGGCGGCAACAATACTACAGCGAGAATAAAAGTTACGCCTTCTTTCTTTACGTGAACATTTGGGCGGCGTTATGCAAATCTTCCCACATAGTGACATAGGTATGTGGGGGCGTGTTAGAACGAGCCGTTTTAGGTAGACGTGGTTGACTCTTAACTTTTATAAAATATAAAATAAAATGTGCTTTTATAAAATAAAGAAATCAAACATGATGCGTTTTCTGCCGTCTCGTCTTGAACAGGAGCGCTTAACAAAAATGAACCTAAACTCAGTGAATAGATGCCTCACAGACATGATAAATATATCTATAGAAAGCTTTAAATTACTACTTAACTAAATAAAACCAATCAAAAACTCTTTCATTATGATCATAATCCGTAAAGATGCACTTCTCTCTAAAGGCGCGTCTAATGAAGAGATGGCGAGTCAAGATCGACAACTTCATCCTTGCGACACAGACTCAGAAAACACTAGTTTATTAGTAAATAATTAAAATATCTCCTTACTGTTTCTCCCTGACGCATTTATGGTAATTACTTTTGCAGATGCTTTGCGGCAAACTTTGCGTGCATTTGAACGCAGAACTCTTCAGCTGCGCTGACGGCACGCATGCTGCTGCTGCGGGACACTAAACACTGTCGAGCACGGTCTTGTGTTGTTTCCACCAGCGCGGCGATCTTTTCATCACTATTTGATGGATGTCTAAAATATAAAAATAAGGAGAAGCCTAAAACAGGCCCGAGGCCCTGCCCGCGTCTGAACTATGACGTGAAAATTGTCCCGAAGCCCAGCCCGAGGGGCGTAAAAAAGTCGGGGCCCGTCGGGCCTGTCTGATCTAGCACACAGAAAACGATTTGACTGAAAATGTATCAGAAGAGATGAAAGAAAGATAGTGATCATCTGTGCAATTTGGAAAAAGAGCATTTGGTATGTTTTTTTTTTCTTTCTTTTTTTTACTCTTTGTACAGGAGTTATTGTTCATTCTAAATTAATTTTTTAATGTAGAATATGTGTTACATAAATACATGAAATGTAGAACTGCGGCCCACGAGATTTGCACTTGGACCATAGTGCGGCCCGGTGGAAAAAAAGGTTGAGAACCACTGCTCTAAAGTGAAAGGAAAAATTGAAATCGCATCATATGACCCCTTTAAAGGGCGTCGAGGGGTCTTGTCTTTGTTTTCTGACTAAAAACTATTACTTTGAACTTTTATTATTACAGTGTTTATTTAAAAAAACGTAGAGTGCCTTAAAAATAATTATCACAACACCGATAAAACAGGCTTATACTGATTTTCTCATCCTCCGATTTATACTTATCAATCCTGTTTTTATTATCATTATCATTCAAAAAATGAATAAATTCAGAACAGGATTAGAATAGAATTAAATATTTTAAATAAGACAGAAATATTTTTTTCTACAACAGTAGTGTTTACAACAGCAAAACCACCATACCCTGTAAACTCAATAATAATAATAATAATAGGCCTAATATAATTCCGTTTCTAATTCCAGAGTGATTAAGAGGTGCAAAGAAAAATGTCTTTAACTTCTAAACTTAAAATGGTCTTTTCTGTTCTGTTTCTTTTTCAAAACTGCATCAGGGCATTTGCTGCTGTATCAGTACAGAAGCATCCGTTTCGATGCACGTCTCAGCAAGATGTTAAAAGATGTGCTCCATGTGCCCCTTTTATACGTTGAGCACCTGCCCCTCCAAAGGTCTCTGCATGACCCTGAGCAAGAGGTATTTAATGCTAAAACGGCTTGCCATACCAAACAACTGTTTCTTGAAGTGCCCTTCTGCATCATCATCACGTGCCGACATGGAGGTGCCGTCATCATGCAAAGAATCTGCACAAAGGATCATGGGAGCCCGAAGTGTCCATCAGTTTTACCCTTCGAAATCCTTCATTCCGAAGGGCCCTTTGAAGTGGCCAGTTTTGAGCACTTCGGTTTGGAACGACCCTACCAATATGGCGGCCATGATTGTTTTCACTCCGAAGTGCCCTTCGGAGGGCGATATATCCCGTTTGGAACACTGAATGATTCACCTTTTTTGAACAAATCGAGGGAGTCAATGATTCAGTGAGCCATTAATAAAGAGTCACCTGCTTCATTTATTGAACGAATCAGCCGTTTGAATGAATCGTTTGAATCAATGACTCACTCATTAAGACCATGACTTGCTGCCACCTACTGGTGGTTTGGTTTCATATTTAAAGGGACACTACACTATTTTTGAAAATATGCTCATTTTCCAACTCCCCTAGAGTTAAACAGTTGAGTTTTACCATTTTCTAATCAATTCAGCCGATCTCCGGGTCTGGCGGTAGCACTTTTAGCTGTAAGGGGGGTAGAATTATTTATTTATTTCAATGAATGTAATCGATTAGATATCATAATATTTAGGCTATAATATTATAAATCAGGTTGGTTTGTATTGCTGACGTAATATGTAAATGATATGCTGCGGCCCGCGAGATTTGCACTTGGACCATAGTGCGGCCCGGTGGAAAAAAAGGTTGAGAACCACTGCTCTAAAGTGAAAGGAAAAATTGAAATCGCATCATATGACCCCTTTAAAGGGCGTCGAGGGGTCTTGTCTTTGTTTTCTGACTAAAAACTATTACTTTGAACTTTTATTATTACAGTGTTTATTTAAAAAAACGTAGAGTGCCTTAAAAATAATTATCACAACACCGATAAAACAGGCTTATACTGATTTTCTCATCCTCCGATTTATACTTATCAATCCTGTTTTTATTATCATTATCATTCAAAAAATGAATAAATTCAGAACAGGATTAGAATAGAATTAAATATTTTAAATAAGACAGAAATATTTTTTTCTACAACAGTAGTGTTTACAACAGCAAAACCACCATACCCTGTAAACTCAATAATAATAATAATAATAGGCCTAATATAATTCCGTTTCTAATTCCAGAGTGATTAAGAGGTGCAAAGAAAAATGTCTTTAACTTCTAAACTTAAAATGGTCTTTTCTGTTCTGTTTCTTTTTCAAAACTGCATCAGGGCATTTGCTGCTGTATCAGTACAGAAGCATCCGTTTCGATGCACGTCTCAGCAAGATGTTAAAAGATGTGCTCCATGTGCCCCTTTTATACGTTGAGCACCTGCCCCTCCAAAGGTCTCTGCATGACCCTGAGCAAGAGGTATTTAATGCTAAAACGGCTTGCCATACCAAACAACTGTTTCTTGAAGTGCCCTTCTGCATCATCATCACGTGCCGACATGGAGGTGCCGTCATCATGCAAAGAATCTGCACAAAGGATCATGGGAGCCCGAAGTGTCCATCAGTTTTACCCTTCGAAATCCTTCATTCCGAAGGGCCCTTTGAAGTGGCCAGTTTTGAGCACTTCGGTTTGGAACGACCCTACCAATATGGCGGCCATGATTGTTTTCACTCCGAAGTGCCCTTCGGAGGGCGATATATCCCGTTTGGAACACTGAATGATTCACCTTTTTTGAACAAATCGAGGGAGTCAATGATTCAGTGAGCCATTAATAAAGAGTCACCTGCTTCATTTATTGAACGAATCAGCCGTTTGAATGAATCGTTTGAATCAATGACTCACTCATTAAGACCATGACTTGCTGCCACCTACTGGTGGTTTGGTTTCATATTTAAAGGGACACTACACTATTTTTGAAAATATGCTCATTTTCCAACTCCCCTAGAGTTAAACAGTTGAGTTTTACCATTTTCTAATCAATTCAGCCGATCTCCGGGTCTGGCGGTAGCACTTTTAGCTGTAACTTAGCATAGATTATTGAATCTGATTAGACCGTTAGCATCTCGCTCAAAAATGACCAAAGAGTTTCTATATTTTTCCTTTTTAAAAATTTACTCTTCTGTAGTTACATCGTGTACTAAGGCCGACGGAAAATGAAAAGTTGCGATTTGCATTTATGGAACCTCTAATCTTCATTAAACAGTAAATACACTTAAATGGCACTTTTGATGCAGCTTCTGTGCTTCATGTCGAGCCCTGGAATAGGAAAAGTTTTTGATTGTTTTTTATCTCAAGTGCTGCAGAATTAATTCTAGGCTACAACTTCATAAACTCAAATTTTTCCTGACTGAGTTTATTTTTTATTATATATATATATACGTACATACACACTACCGGTCAAAAGTTTGGGATCAGTAAGACTTGTAATGTTTTTTAAAGAAGTCTCTTATGCTCATCAAGGCTGCATTTATTTGATCAAAAATACAGAAAAAAACAGTAATCTTGCTAAATGTTATTACAATATAAAATAATGGTTTCTATTTTAATATCCTTTAAAATATAATTTATTTCTGTGATGCAAAGCTGAATTTCCATCAGCCATTACTCCAGTATATAGTGTCACATGATCCTTAAGAAATCATTCTAATATGCTGATTGATTATTAGAATGATCAATGTTGGCAACAGTTGTGCTGCCAAATATTTTTTTTTTAAACTGCGATACTTTTTTCAAGATTCTTTGATGAATAAAAAGTTAAAAAGAACAGCATTTATAAAAAAAATCTTTTCTAACAATATAAATATTTGCTATCACTTCTTAACAATTTAACACACCCTTGCTGAATAAGTTTTAATTTCTTAAAAAAAAAAATAAAGAATAAAAATTGACTGACCCCAAACTTTTGAACGGTAGTGTATATTGTTAGAGAAGATTTCTATTTTAAATAAATGCTCTTCTTTTTAACTTTTTATTCATCAAAGAATCCTGAAAAAAATATCACAGGTTCCAAAAAAATATTAAGCAGCACAACAGTTTCCAGCACTGATAATAAATCAGCATATTAAAATGATTTCTGAAGGATCATGTGACACTGAAGACTGGAGTAATGATGATGAAAATTCAGCTTTGTATCACAGGAATAAATTAGATTTGAATGTATATTAAAATAGAAAAACATTATTTTACATCATATAATATTTCACAATATTAATTTTTTTCCTGTATTTTTGATCAAATAAATGCAGCCTTGATGAGCATAAGAAACTCCGGTAAAAAACATTAAACATCGTTCTGATCCCAAACTTTTGACCGGTAGTGTATAAATATTATTGTTGAATCTCATTAGTGATCTTACTGAGTGTGCTTTGAAATTCAAATGTGAGTTTAAAATAGGCTGGTTTGTCTCTTGAAATTTATGAGCACATTGTCATGCACTTCTCGGAGTAGATTCTACAGTCTTCAGTATTTGATTCTCACAGTGTAAAAAACCCCATAGACGGTCCAGCTAATGAATCTGATGTAATGTAGGCCTAAGCCTGGTGAGGTTTAAGCTGTACTCAACACAAGCCACAACAATACAGCCCTGTTCATCTCTTCGTATTCCAGCGAACGGAAACTGCTGCACCCTCAATAATATTTAACAGTGTCGCAGTTCACGTGATGTGAACTCGGAATCTGGCATCTAGCACAGGAAATGACAGATGAGAGACACTGAGAAACTGACAATTGCGTGGTGTTTTTGGATGCTATGTGTGTTGTAAACGCCCTTAAATAAACAGTAAAGAATTACGGTTTTCAAATACATATTAATCTGAAATTGAAAGCCACCCCAAAATCCCCCAGCAAGCAACTGACGTTTGTTTATTTAATTATTTTTTTAAACTTTTACTTTTTACTTTACTTTTAGTCATTTAGCAGACGCTTTTATCCAAAGCGACTTACAAATAAGAAAAAGTAATTAAAACTAAAAGCCCAAACTCTATAAATACTATATATATATACACACACATTTAAGAAAAGAAAAGAAATTAAATAAAAATGACAAATGCATACAACATTTCAAAACTAAAACATTTAAATGAAAACAAAAAAAATAAAGCTAAAAACAATTCAAACATGCACAAATGAGAAACTAAAAGCTTTTAAGAAAATAAAATAAATTAAAATGATACATTTTTTATTAAAATGAAGACGAATTAATATATCACTACATCATTCCTAGTGCTTTTCAGTCCCCGATACAAGTTATGTCATTGCAGATTTATATAAAAACAATATTTTAACAACAACAAACTATTTGCTTTAAATAAACTTCTAATGGGCAACAATAAATATATAATTCGACACGCTGCTTTAGGTCTAAACCCTAAATTTCATAAATTGAAAAAAATATTCACTCTAATTTATAAACGTTAACATGTCCATTTATGATGAAACATAAGGACACTAAAAAAATAGGTTTCTTTTTTTCAAAAGACACTGAATGGTCGGAATGAAATCGACTGAAACAGCCCTGAGCGTTCTTGTTGCGTAACCAGCCGTTCTACGTGTACGTGATGACGTAGGTGCATACGCGCGCGCTCTCGTCACTCATTTCCTGAAACACACACGTGAAACCGCAGCTGAGAGTAAAAGCTGCCATTTGATCCTGATGCTCTTGCGGTGTGCTGATGGTTCACGCCAGGTGTGCTCTTCTTCGGAATGAGGCGATCCTCATATGGGTTGGGCTCTCATACAGGTTTAACTTCATTCCTGAAGAGATTGATTATTTCGATTATTTTTCCCTGTCAACATTTTCGCCATTATGAATAAAGATTTATTAGCGTTATAAATGTTTTATTATTCTATTCAGTTCGTTTTTATTTGCATAGCGCTTTTCACAATACATATATATGTTTAGAGGATAGTTCCATAATAAATTTGGTATTGCCAAAAATAGTCTAGTCACGAATACAGTTATATTAATTTTACAGTTATTTTACTATATTGTAATAACGTACATAACAATTAAATAGTACATCGATAAGACAATAGTAAGGTGACTCTCTTTCCTGCTCGCACACACCTCAACCCAACTCTCTATTCAGTTTTTCCCTCCCATGTGTGGTGATTGACACCTACATCGACCAATCATGTTCCGAGAAATCTTCAAACCGACCAATGACGGGGCGTTGTAGGCCCGAACCCGGCCCAGCATGCTAGAGCGCGTCCGTGTTATGTGTGCTATGGACTCATCCCAGTAATATTGACAATAGGGCGAAAAAGGGACCGATATTCCCTAATAAAACATATTTTCTGGATTAAAATAACACATAAGCACGGTGTGTGGATATAAAGAGATACCCGGGGATGTTCGTATTTCTGCTGGATCCTTTTCTGTCGTCGGAAATTTGAGTGTTTGATGGGATTATTGCTGTGGGTTTGGCAGTTTTTAAGGCCAAGAACAGATTTTGTGTCTTTCTTTTTCTTTTTCTGCTGCTTCAAGAGGCCTTGAAGAAGGAAAGACGCTGAAAACACCCAAATCAGCTCCTCGCATCGAAAACATCAAGGTAAATTGAATATTTGAAGGGTTTTTTTGTGGCCTGTCCTGCTCAAGTTTAGATCCGGCTCGTTTTAGTGTTTCATATACTTACCAGAGTACTGTGTCAAATAAATGAACTTTAGGTCCAAGAACACTTTTTATACAGAGTTTGTTAGGGGTTGTGTAGTATTTGTCTACCGAAAGGGGAAAAAAACAAAAAACGTAACCATACTTTTAATGTTTTTCACACGTTGCCCGACCATTTGAATGGGTGGATAAATGAAAATGAAAGCTTGTTCTTCATCTGTTTTTGTTTTATTGGTGATCTGGAATGCAGTAGGTCTTTGTCAGCTGCTTGTGTGTGTGTAAGTGTGTTTAGGGCCATCAGGAGATCATGAATCTGCATCATCTGCGCTCATGTGGACATTAGAGTTTCAGAGGTTTCCACTTTTTTTCTATCCTTTTAGAAGGAACCACAGTGCCAAATTGCTCTTATGCATCTCTAAACTCTGCCTGTTCGTTGTGGACTAACCCACCAAATGCAAGCAGTTCTGATCATTACTTCACTAGTCTGTGTCAACTTCTTGCTTTGTCTCTGTGCCCTGTTTCCATGGTCTGGTTCACTTCAGCTGCCTGGCAGTTTGGCAGTTGCAATATCTCATCACCAACAACAACAACACATTCATCTCACGAGTGGATTACAGTTGGACTGGTTGTTTTGGGTGACCTTCAGTCAAAACCAATGGGAAAGGTTATCTCTAAATACCTGGTTATGGAGATTAGGGCCAGGGCATCAGTGTTTTGGATTAACTGCTGGGTATGAGTGTTTCCTAGATTGTGGTTGCCGGATTCACTACTTTGTCAGTCAATCCAGTGGATAAGCCCTGGGATGTTTTTTATACCTGCAGATCTTTATACAGAGCTGGATCGCAGAACAACATGGACATCTGCGATTATCTCTCACTATTTTATAAACTAGCTCAGTTTCACTGCAGTAGAGATTGCATCTATCTATCTATCTATCTATCTATCTATCTATCTATCTGTTTTGTAGACAAAAATATGAAAATATTTTTTTGCTAGGGTTAACATGGGTTGAGTAAAGGTTGTCATTTTTCATATTTTGCAGAAGTTTGTAGTATATGTGTCTTGGTCTCGCACAGAAATCTTGCTGTGAATGTCAAACCAGGGTGAACTTTACAACAGGACAGGAAGGAACATGGATTTTTTCCTGTTCTCACCTCATCAGTCTTACGTCCTGGTCCTATTTCACCCCAAATTGAAAATAATATTAAATTTGTTTTGCATAATTAATAATTACAATATGCATTATTTTCATGTCAATGACGTTAAATTAAGATTAGTTTCTCGTTAATATAATTGTACCCTGGGATGTTTTTTATACCTGCAGATCTTTATACAGAGCTGGATCGCAGAACAACATGGACATCTGCGATTATCTCTCACTATTTTATAAACTAGCTCAGTTTCACTGCAGTAGAGATTGCATCTATCTATCTATCTATCTATCGATCTATCTGTCTGTCTGTTTTGTAGACAAAAATATGAAAATATTTTTTTGCTAGGGTTAACATGGGTTGAGTAAAGGTTGTCATTTTTCATATTTTGCAGAAGTTTGTAGTATATGTGTCTTGGTCTCGCACAGAAATCTTGCTGTGAATGTCAAACCAGGGTGAACTTTACAACAGGACAGGAAGGAACATGGATCTTTTTCCTGTTCTCACCTCATCAGTCTTACGTCCTGGTCCTATTTCACCCCAAATTGAAAATAATATTAAATTTGTTTTGCATAATTAATAATTACAATATGCATTATTTTCATGTCAATGACGTTAAATTAAGATTAGTTTCTCGTTAATATAATTGTGTGTGTGTGTATATATTACAGTAAAAAACTTCATATACATTTTACATATTGGTATTTGGTGCATTTATTAATTTAATTGTTTATTTAAATAAATCACTGATTTATTTAAATGCAGCAAATACTACCGGCATGTACATATAAATATAATAATTTATAGTTTATACAAGTTTTTAAAAATCATTTATATCTTTTTTTGTATTATTATAATGAGATTTATGGTGTAAATGTGTTTTAACATTTTATGAAAATAATGTAAAAAAAAAATCGTATTACCTAAAATAGGTTTTGTTTTTCTTGTATCAAATTATATACATTTTTGTATTTCTTTATGTTGATTTTGGGGCGAAATGTGACGCATCCCAGCTTTGGCACATTCTTAACCACAATGACTGCTTGTGTTTATTGATTTCTGCTGACCTTATGTGCTCATCGATGTTCTCTTGTGCGATTGTTGGTTGCATTCATTGTTCTTGTACATGAGAGAGAAGGTTTATTCTTTTTACAGGTAGCGATACTGCCAGGCCTGTTGTTTCTGAGAACTGGAGAAGTGGCTGAGAAAAGGGATGATATTGTTTGTGGTTGACTGCACAGTGCAGCATTATGGGATGTCATCAATAGACGTTGGCAGCATCTCACTCGTTTGATGTCTGCTAATTTAAATCTCTCGGACTGCAATATCAAAGTGCTCTGAATAGTCAGATTAAAGACCACACCGGCTTCGAACCATCCAGTTCATATAATCAGTTGAATTTGACTTTTCTATGCAAATTCACTTGTGTCTGCTTAGAGATTTTGTATTCAAAAGATATAAAATAACTGAGTTCAGTTCTAAATATATTCGATTTGAGCTTATTAAGTGCCACTAGCATAACCAAAGGAAAAGTTTAGGTGGTCTTTCTCTGCTTCCCTGGCCTGTTTACTTCCTGTTAAACTTTTCTCTGCTCCTCCCTTTCTAAAGGGGCATTCACAATGACACTGATTAAATCGCTGGAGGTCATAGAGTCTCTGTGGTCACTAGTTCCAACTTGACTGTCACATTTAACTGTAACACTTTGCCAATGATTGCTATCGCTCATGATGTCAGAAATCGCCAACTTGAAAACAAAGTTAAAATTGAATTATTTGCTTTCATTCAAAAGACTTTCTTTTTTTTCTTATACTTCTGTCTTAATTCCCAAATGCATATGGTTTCTAATGCAGGGCAGTAATTCTGTGTGTTTATCTACTTTAATATCATGCATCAGGGCTCCAGACAAAAAAATCGAGTAAGGAGTATTGGCTCCTATTAGGGATGTCAACAATTAATTGATGATCGATTAATTGTCGATAAGAGATGCTATCGATGGTCGATTAAGCCGTTTAATTTTGGGCTGCGTGCGGCTCATGCGCAAAACACGTGCGAGCGACTGTGAGTGATGGTATATAAATGCATCGTCGAATGATGATGACTCGATGTACAAATTAAGCTTTTAATGTGATTTAAACTTTAAAAGTACATTAAAATAGAAACAACACAAAGTTCTTCAACATGGAATGCAATAGAAATGTAGTAACAGTCATTTCCCCAGATAATTGTTTCATATTTGAAACAATTAGGTGAAGTTTGCAGGGCTGCGGGACACTGCGGGGGAAGGATATAGGCCAGGGATCCTCAAATCTGAAATCGCCAACTTGAAAACAAAGTTAAAATTGAATTATTTGCTTTCATTCAAAAGCAATTTTTCTTATACTTCTGTCTTAATTCCCAAATGCATATGGTTTCTAATGCAGGGCAGTAATTCTGTGTGTTTATCTACTTTAATATCATGCATCAGGGCTCCAGACAAAAAAATCGAGTAAGGAGTATTGGCTCCTATTAGGGATGTCAACAATTAATTGATGATCGATTAATTGTCGATAAGAGATGCTATCGATGGTCGATTAAGCCGTTTAATTTTGGGCTGCGTGCGGCTCATGCGCAAAACACGTGCGAGCGACTGTGAGTGATGGTATATAAATGCATCGTCGAATGATGATGACTCGATGTACAAATTAAGCTTTTAATGTGATTTAAACTTTAAAAGTACATTAAAATAGAAACAACACAAAGTTCTTCAACATGGAATGCAATAGAAATGTAGTAACAGTCATTTCCCCAGATAATTGTTTCATATTTGAAACAATTAGGTGAAGTTTGCAGGGCTGCGGGACACTGCGGGGGAAGGATATAGGCCAGGGATCCTCAAATCTGGACCACGAGATCCACTTTCCTGCAGAGTTTAGCTCTAACCCTAATCAAACACACCTGAGCATGCTAATCAATGTCTTCAGGATCATTTGAAAATCACAGGTAGGTGAGTTTGATCAGGGTTGGAGCTAAACTCTGCAGCGCATTGGACCTCCAGGGTAAGATTTGAGGAACCCTGATATAGGCTATTCATTCCTACGACTTATTAATTTGTGGCCACTGTCCATGTTTCATTAATTTTGTTCCTTAACCCATGATTTAACTAAAATGAGGGAACAAATTAATACATCGAACAAATTCTTAATTCATGGCCATGAAATCTTTCATTTCTCTTCCGCATGTTTACCACAGTAAGAGATGTGAAAACAGTGATAAAAAGTGAATGACAATCTAATTTCACAGGTTTATTTTAGGGTTAGACGGTGAGGATTTAGTTAAAGAAACTATGCTTAAATATTTTTGAATTTGTGGAAATTCATGACCAAGAACAAAGCCGCATAAATGTAGGCTATATGGACTCAAACGGCATCCAAAAGCATGGTCGCAATGTAAGATTTTCCAGCTAAGCAAATATTCCTCTAATAAACAAAGCTTTTATACCACACTTGTCATAATCAGAGCTTATAATTTGTAAATAAATAATTGCTGGATTCAAAACAGCAATTAAATGGCGCTGTGACCGACATGGATTATACATTTTCCCGGGGCATTCAATGCTGTCACTAAACGGTGATGCCACAACTAGAGCATCGTTCACAAGTTTCTGCAGGACCTAACTAACCTAGGCACAGGTTTTCAAGCCCTGGGAGAAAATGGGATGCTTTAAGGAAAATGTATAGCCTATGTAAGTAATAGGCCTAAAATAAAAATAACCATTTGTTTTCATAAAAAAAATAAAAAAAGCGAAATATATACCTTGCGCGCACACACCCCACATATTCTAGCAATTCAAACTTACATCGCAGTCTGTTCATTATCAAAATAAAATACAGTCAACCAAACATATAAAAGGTTACACTGGTCAGTTTAAATATAAAAAATTTAAATCTGACATTTTCCGGAACAGAATCCAGCAGCACTGGTCATAATACTCCGATAAAAATGTTTGATGTGAGCAACCGTGTGTTTTGCTGCAGCAGCACCAATGGAAGCGGTTCACTGACTGCGCAGTACAGCCACATGCACCACAGTTACGTTTGGGATCATTTTATTTTAAATTCCATAATGTCAGTTGAAAACATTGCAATTGTGTTTTAAAATACAATAACGAGCACCACTAAACCATTTAAATAGGCGCGTTCAGCGGTCTCCGTGTCGGGATAGTCAACAAAGTAAAATTATCTCAAACGTACGGCGTGCTCTGTTCATTTTATCAAATTATCAGAATCACATCTATTAATTTTACAATCCTGCTACTAGCATTTTATTCAGACTAAAGCCCCCTTACTTCGGGTGAGAAAGCGGGGGGGGGTTTAAGTGGCTTTTGCACAATCCTGTCATGCCAGTGACTGCGTGCTGCTGCAATAGACGCATTTTGCTGCATTAAAGTTAACGATTAATCGATTAATTGATCGTTAATTTGAACGATGATCGATCATGGAAATGATCGAAAATTGACATCCCTAGCTCCTATAAGATAAAACTTAGGCGCCATATTTTTTTTTTACATGCCACAGAATAAAAATAAACATACATATATGTATGTGTGTGTATATATGTATGTATGTGTGTATATATAGCAATAGACGCATTTTGCTGCATTAAAGTTAACGATTAATCGATTAATTGATCGTTAATTTGAACGATGATCGATCATGGAAATGATTGAAAATTGACATCCCTAGCTCCTATAAGATAAAACTTAGGCGCCATATTTTTTTTTTACATGCCACAGAATAAAAATAAACATACATATATGTATGTGTGTGTATATATGTATGTATGTGTGTGTGTATATATATATAT